TCTTCAAGGAGCCCAAGAACTTACAGTCATCAGGTTTCCAAACAGTTGTCTCTAACTCTCCCAGCTCAGCTTCCCTAAACTTCCTTCCAGCTGATTCTGCAGGAAGCTAACACTTCTAAACATCAAGAAGCAGCATCCATTGTAAGTGATTTCAACAGCATCTGACTATTATGAGAAGCAGTAAAGCACAACCATTATGTAGCGCTGCAAAAGCAGGAAGCACAGCTTGAGGATATAATCAGCAAGTACGCCTGCTCCCCATGTGCATACAGAAGCACAAACTTTACATAGAAAAAACAGTTCTAAAATATTAGAGCCCCCTTCCCCCCTGCCACTCCTCCCCACCCACCTCTGGATGCCCTCCAACATGTATTTTTGGATGGACAAGTGGGGTCCCCTCTAGCGCTGGTCGGTTCTTAGCGGTGCAGAGAGTGTCACTGATTTGATGCCTTCAGTGCCATCCTCTGCATCAATTTACTGGGGGCAGGGCACAATGGTGGCGGGTTGCTAACGCACACTCACAAGACGTTTAATAATGCTGGGAGTGATTTAATGTAGAAGAGGAGGGGGGCTGGATCTCAGAGCAAGGTCAGTCTGCGGGAACAGCCACAGAAAGGAGGTGAGTATTGGAGGGAGAAAATAACATACATCATTTTTAGAACAATATTTTGAAGTGGTAGAAAATGATACATTTGCAATTTTTTTTTTTATTGGCACAGAATCTTTTATTTTACAATATACATTTATTGAATGGCGAAAAGACTGATGGGTTTCCCAAGAAAGTCCAGCACTAGCGCCTGACTCTTTATACACTAGTGACAACGCCGCAGTCTCTGTTAGCAGAAGAAGGGGCTGGAAGGTTTTCTTAAATTCTGTTTCATTCGGATCTCTGTTTAGTACGGCAGGTGCCAGAAAGGAAGAACCTTCACAGACGGGGCTGTCCTTATAATGAGGCAGCCTAATGATGTTGACTCAGGCGGCCATCTCTTTGGGTCACATGACGGTGCTGCCTGCCACCCCCTTTCCGGCCAGAGTATCCCAGGTTGCTAAGAGTCAAGCTGGGTGATGTGTAAGGGCCATACACACAGGAGTGTCCCCATAATGCAGCACCATTTCATTGGGGGGGGGGGGGGGGA